TTAATACAAGGCACTCATTAACATATTTTTCAGACAGAACAATCTCCACTTTTAAAGCCTCTTCATTTAACTCAAACATCAAGTAATTTCTTCGTGGCCTTAATTATGCTAGGTGCTCTCTTTTCAAGAGTCATTTTCTATACATCTGTTCAGCAAATATTTATTGCATACCTACAGTGTGCCTGGCACTCTGCTATGTTCTCAGATATAATGTGTATCTCCATCAACATAGACTTAAATCCAATGACCTATTAATACCTTTTGTAAAGAAGAAAATTACATTTTTTAAAAGATTTCATTCATTTGAGAAAGAGAGAGTGAACGGGAGGGAGAGGGAGTGAGAATCTGAAGCAGACTGACTCCGCACTGAGCGCAGAGCCGGAAGCAGAGCTTGATTCACAATTGCGAGATCATGACCTGAGCCAAAGCCAAGAGTCGGATGATCAACCGACAGAGCCATCCGGGCTGCTCGGAAAAATTGTATTTTATGAGGATCAAAAAAGGAACATTTTCCATAAGGTACAGGAAGGAGGAGAATTAGCCCCCAAAGATAGATGTGGTCACATACTTGGTAGTCTTGGATTTGACCAAGTTTCCCATAATCCTTTCAAAATGTGGCATCCAGATTTTGAGCTAGTTCACTCTCTCTTTCTGCTGCACCTGTTAAGATATGTATTGAACCTTCTCATTTTTTGTCTCCTGACCTCTCATGTCTTGTCTCTTTGTCTCTGTGCTGCATTCCATGTGAGCACTTCTCCAACTGCAGATCTCGTTAGAATGCAGGTTCTGATTGAGTGGATGTGGGGCAGAGCCAGAAATTCTGTATTTTTTTTTAAACATTTTATTTATTTATTAGAGAGCATGGGGGGGGGCAGAGGGAATAGGAGAAGCATACTCCCTGCTGAGCATGGAGCCAATGCAGAGTTGGATCCCAGGACCCTGAGATCATGATCTGAGCCGAACGCAGACAGTTAATTGACTGAGCCACCCTGGTGCCCCAAAGATTCTGTATTTCTCACTAACTCCCAGGTGATGCTGATGCTGCCATTCTTCAGATAACACTTTGAGAAGTGTGATTTCTTCAGATCTAATGCTACTTCACTAATTTTCTCTTTGGCTGTGTCTTATCTTCTATTTAATGCATTCAGGGAGTTTTAAACTTCAAATTCAATAACAATACTTTTCATTTTTGAAGTTCTGTTTGGTTCCTTTCAAATGTGTGTGGTCCTTTTTTCAGAGTATCCTATTTTATTAGCGTTTCTACTTATTTACCTTGATAATAAATTAATTTTATGACCCATTTTATTTTATTTTTAATTTTTTTTTTAAAGATTTTATTTATCTGAGAGAGAATGAGAGACAGCATGAGAGGGAGGAGGGTCAGAGGGAGAAGGAGACTCCCTGCTGAGCAGGGAGCCCAATGCGGGACTCGATCCTGGGACTCCAGGATCATGACCTGAGCCGAAGGCAGTCACTTAACCAACTGAGCCACCCAGGTGCCCCTTTTATGGCCCATTTTAGATTGTTCTTTTATCTGCAGTTTTTGGAAGGCTAATTTTCCCATTTCTTGTATGTGATGATGGTCCTCCATGGTAGTTTGGGTGGCTTCTTTTTCCTTGTTATGTGTACTTGTTGGTATTTACTTTTTTTGTGTGAATTCCTTTCTAGTAGGGCCTGTGTGTATGTGTGTGTGTGTGTTTGTGTCTGTTGGTTTGTCTGTCCCATGTGCCCTGGATTGTGAAAGTGCTTCCACAAGATGTTCTCCTTTTGTCTGCCAGTGTCCTAAGGGCTCAGTGATCCTGGGCCAGTATTGATGTTAATTTCTTGTTTTTTTTTTTTTTAAGATTTTTTATTTATTTGACACAGAGAGATAGTCAGAGAGAGCGCACAAGCAGGGGGAGCGGCAGGCAGGCAGAGGGAGAGGGAGAAGCAGGCTCTCTGCTGAGCAAGGAGCCTGATGTGAGGCTCGATCCCAGCACCCTGGGATCATGACCTGAGCCGAAGGCAGATGCTTAACCGACTGAGCCATCCAGGCGCCCCAAATTTCTTGTTTTGTAGTTCCCACCCTATATAGGATACTATAAGTGCAGACACCCTAGCTGGGATTACAGTTTTAATCGCCAGCCTGTTTCTTTCCCCCTAACGGGTCCTGGCCAAGGGTGAGCATCCTTGTCACTTTCTGGTGGGTAGAGAATTTCCAGTTTGTCCATTTCTTTTTGGGTTGAGGCTGTGGCTCTTTTCCTGCCCAAATGTGACCCTTATAAGTCCTTTTTTTTTTTTTTTTAAGATTTATTTATTTTAGTGAGAGAGAGAGATTGTGAGTAGGGGGAGGGGCCGAGGGAGAGAATCTCAAGCAGACTCCCAGCTGAGTGCAGAGCCCAGTGCGGGGCTTGCTTTCATGTCCCTGAAATCAGGACCTGAGCTGAAATCAAGAGTCAGATGCTTAACCAATTGAACCACCCAGGTGCTCCTATAAGCCCTTTTTTTCAGACTTTACTGTTGTAGTCAACTGACTACCTGTCTAGAGGTTTATATTCCTGGCTTTTAATCCATCCTGTGACTATCTCACCTGTTACCAGCTGGTGTATTTCATGTTGATTTTTCCTTCTTTCTATTGAAGATTGTCTGGCCATTTTTCTAATCTCAACCATATGGGCTGGCTTTGAACATGATGGAGTTTTCAAGAGAAATCTTATTTTATAGTACAGAATTTCTAAATCATAATTATTTCACAGAGGGTGGCTCCTACCCCTATATTAATCATACTTCTCACTCAGAAATGGGATTCTATTTTAGTCTCCCAAAGATAAATTAGTATATAGTGGAAAGGGAATTAAACTGCTAGAAATGAGATGATATGATAAACACAAACATCCACATGACTGTGTGCATGCTTTGAGCAGGGAAGAAGAATATTCAACACAGATTGGGCTGTATCTCACTAGCCTTCACCAATTGCAGGATCTGTCGTAAACATGAATCTCATGTGAGCAATAACAATAATAGGTGATTTTTGTGGAGTGTTTACTGTGTGCTAAGGAATATGCTAAGCACTTTATATAGATTTTGGTTTTCATTTAAACCTCCCAACAGCCCTTTGAGGAATTTATCTCTGTGTTGGAAATGAGGCTCAGAGAGGTTAAGTGACTTTCCCGAAGTCACAGAGCTGGTAAGTGGTAGAGCTGGGATTTGAACCCACTCAGATTCCCAAGTAATGTGCCATCAGTCATAACGCTTCCATATTTGTGTCATCTGTGAAACTGCATACATTTCCTCAGTCTTTATCTGAGTTTTTTGAGATGGAAAACTTCTCTTTCTGATCCTTATGAAATGTAATTTCCATTATTATTTTTTTTTTCCTTAAAGTATTGGGTAATTGAAATCAGATTGGTTTGAGGCTATGTTGTTGGAGGTACACACGGGATGTGGGCTGAAGCATTCAATGTAATTTTTCTTTCTATCAGCTAATTTTTAAAGTATTAAGCAAGTAGATTCTGATACTAACAGGGAAGATTTAAATTCTCTTGAGAGCTTGGAGGTGTTAAATAATTTCCTGGTAGTGCATTTTACGTTTTCAATCTCTTACCTCATCTCAGTGCACTTGAAGCCCTGCGAATGCTCCTTTGCTCTTCCCAGGAGGAGCCGGACCTCCTCCTTGTGGCTTCCTTCCCTCCCCCGCCACACCATCCCTTCACCTCTCCATTCACTCCCCAGCACTGCCGCTTCGATGTGGTTGTCACTGGGGTACTTTGCAAACAGCCAGATTCTTTTGAGTCTGTAAGCAGAAACCAGACTGCTGCTTCTATCTGGTGCACAGCTGCTTCAGAAAACAAGGAGTTAAAAAGGAAGCCTGGACTGTGACCGGCCGTGACAAGGGTCCTAGGGGGCGCTGTAGCAAGCTCCGGCAGTGAGTCATGCTGCTCTGTCACTTGGATCAGCACTGGCCCCTGCCACGCAGGCGGCCAGGTGGGGTTCCAGCCAGAGCACGCACAGAGTGGGGAGCATGAAGCCTGCACTGCGGGGGCTGTGATGCCCGGCTCGCCAACTCAGCCGGCCGGCTTGCCACAGACGCCTCAGCCTGCAGCCATGGTAACGCTTCTGGCCCGCTACACCCCCTGGAGCCCACCACAATGGGCAGCCGCCTGGTGACTGATGGCCAAGTGTCCCCCTCCCTGACCAAGAGAGCTTAGTAGGTCTGCAGAAAGTGGAGAAGATGTAAGATGCCCCTAGCCTGGAGTCATGCCTTAACGAGGTAGGACGCAGACGTCCATTGGTGCATTTACACCATCAGCGGGCAGGGGTGCTGTAAATCATCAGAAAGAACTTTATTTGGCTGGTCTTTCATTATGCTGATTAAACTGCGGTGGATTTGGGTGGCCTGATTGAGGTGGGGAGGAGGGATAATGAACTAAAAAAAAAAAAAAAAGTGGTTAATAAGAGCTCTGAGCACTCTCCTCTGGCTATGAATGAGCTAGACTGCAGTGTTATCCTAACGTGAGTTAGATGCCTCCCAGGTCCTCTTTCCTGCTCCTTCCTCTCATTTCATTGCATGAAATGTAGAAATGCCATCTTATTTCAATGATTAACATTAAATATTGATGATTTAGAGCTGTCCAGAGGAAGAAATACATAGGTGTGGGTCGGCTGGCGTGCTGGCACTAGCCAGCCTGATGCTCTGTTGAAGCGTTCTGGAAATATCCGGAATGAACAGCCGGAACTCCCATGAGTTCCCCAAAGTGCTTTTGTTCCACCAAGTGACCTGTTTGAGTTTCTCCTTCAGTTTACCCCCCCACCCCCCCTCGGGGAAGGCAGCCTGTCTGCCGGCTGGTGGCCATGTTGGCAGAGAAGGGGTTAATCTCTTGTTGCTGTCAGAGCCAAGGCTGGGTCTGCCTGTGTGAGCTAGTCGCTGCAGTGCTGAAGGAGCAAGATGATTTTCTCCGCAACAGTGTTGAATCCGTCTGAATTTTTCTCTCCCTCTCTTCTTGTTTTTCTTTAACCAGCTCCTCCCCCCTTCGTTCCCACCCTCAAGTCTGATGATGACACCTCCAATTTTGATGAACCAGAGAAGAATTCGGGGGTTTCATCCTCTCCGTGCCAGCTGAACCTCTCAGGTTTCTCGGGCGAAGAACTGCCGTTTGTGGGGTTTTCGTATAGCAAGGCACTGGGGATTCTTGGTAGATCTGAGTAAGTGAAAATTTGACTTTCTAAGGACCGGTACTGATGTGAGGCATACAGAGCCCAAAGGTGGTGGTGGTGGGGGTGGTGGGGGGAGTGCAGGGAAGGGAAGCTGTTAATCAGCCTGCATTTGGGAAGCAATTTACCTGTCAGGGCTTTGGTGGGTAGACTGTTCATATTCTCATTTCGCTGTGTTTAAGGTTCCTCTTCCTGTCCCTAGCATCATAATTGTCCATTGGGTACTTTGGGTTAGTTTTTCAGTGTTTGGTCTTCTTTAGAGGGGAGGAAATAGTGGGGGATATCTGGCAGTGCAGATCCTTGGTGGAAGGAGAAACGTGGAGGGTTCAAATGAGCCGTCCATCTATTTATCCATCTGTGTATCCATCTCTCAGGTGGGTGGATGGAGGTTGCTGTCTTGGCTGTATTGAACAAGATCTCATAAGCTAAAGGTTTCCTGATGGGCTTAGCTGAGCTGCAAGTGGCTGTACCAGAGCTCTAACAGATAGATGGTGCTCAGCTCCGCTCGAAGTCTGCTGCAAGATCAGGGATCTGGCAGCTGAGCTCTCTGAGCTGGCGGAGCGCTGGTGGCCAGTGAGAGCCCCGTTACCGGGAGCCACCGGGAGGGAGTGGGATGTAGCCGAGTCATTGATTCACAGAAACTGGGCTTCACAGGGAAAACAAACAAACCAGGAGACTAGAAAATGGAAGTATAAACATCACTGTAAGCCTCTTGGCATGACAGGTCTTTTCTCTGTTCTTGAAAAAGCTCATGAAAAATGCATTCGCACGGCACCTGGGACTGGAGGGTCCTGGCTTCCAGCCTCCGGGAATTTCTGTAAAATGCAGTAGCTTCTGTGGATGTAGGAGCTCAGTGTCTTGCTTCGTTCTCTGATCCCATGACATGCTGCGTTCAGAGACTCGGGTTCCCCGGGAAGGTCTTGGACTAGCTGTGTTATTCCACTGATGCCCTGGCTTTCTCACTTGGAGGCTCTCTGGGTAGCGTTAGGTAATTACTTGCTGCCCACTTAGGAGACAAGCAGAATTTGATTTTCTCCTTGGCAGCGTCCATTCCTGATTTGTTGTGCTTGTAGTTCAGAGATCGATTTGAAGGCATGCGTTGGTTCTTGGATGGTGTCTCCCCATGGGTTCCTCAAAAGATTTCAGAACATCATGGGGGAACTGGGCACTTGAGATGAAATAGGGTTGTGGGCTGTGATTGCATGGGAGAGAGATTTTTATGTTGAAAGATGCCGAGGTGGTCCTACTTTCCTTCTTCCCTGGGCTCTGGGTTTAATATCTGGGGTTGCATTTTGGTAGCGTTGGCAGTGCCTTTCTGGCTCATTTGCTTTGCAACTCCAAAAACAATCTGGATGGTAGGAGTACAGGCAGAGAGCTAACTAGCTGTTGAATGTGCCGTCAGATGATTTGAAATGGCCCAGCAGGGCATTTGGAGAGCAGGGCAGAAGTGGAGGCCTGACGCTAAAGGACGCGTGGTTGGTGGTCAGCTTAATGTGGACACGCGCAGCACACTGAAGGTCACACATCAGACTGGAGGGAGGTGTGTGGAGAGTTCCAGTTCTGGCTAGCAGTGGGCTGGCCGGCTCAGAATGAAAGCTTGCTTGGGGTCCAATGATCTGAAAAACTAGGGAGGACTTGAGGGAATTCGATTTTCGGGGCAAAGGCAGAATGCTGTGGGGGATCTTAGGCATTGCAATTAATCTGAGGCAGTGTGTGATTAATGGCTTATCGTTCAGCAAGCCTGAAATTGCATCTGCCCTTCACAGAAAGCTCAGTTAAGGAAGCTCTCTGACGGGGGGTGGGGGGGGTGGTGTCAGGGAACGGGACGACATCTCAGTCTTAAGGCCCAGGCACTCAATATTTGTTGATTGTGTTTGTACTGCTCATTGTATTTGAAGATAGGCTATTTCACCTTTGATAGTTCACAATACCTCTCTAGAGCATAACACGAGCGTCTGTTCATGCCCCAACAGAATGCTTAATAAGATTCTCATAAAAAAGAAAAAAAAAGTCCACGCAAACAAAAGCGTGTATTTCTTATCTGGAAGATGGGATTGGAGTATTCCTGCCTTTGGGGAACTTTAATGTCTTTGCCATTGCAGTTTGGGGTTGGAATCAGAAAGATATTCTTTCATCTCCTGTCTTTGAATGTGATCTTGCCATCGGGTTTGGCTCTTTGGTCACGGGCAGCCCTGTGGGTGAAACCTACAGCATCCTTATAGAAATCCACTCCACCTGTTGGATGCAGGTAACCCTGGACCGATCGTGTTATCATTATTTAGAAATTCAATAAAAGATGCAATGATGAAATTAATCAGAAGCCCCTGCAGTGCTGCGGACATATAGACAAAATTCATTTAGAGGTGGGAGGAGGCATTCTCTGGGGGTCCCACCGCTGCCACCGGGGACCTGCTGTTTCTTCCCGAGCATCTCCTTCTCCCCTCCCCATTGTCAGCATCACGGGTTTTTATTTACAGGGATTACCTGTGCCATTACTCACTCTTCACACCACCTAGGAGATTGCAGATGCTGTGGTGCTGTGCTGGGGAAATTGACCCCAGATCTGTTCCAGTGAATTGAATGAAATGTTCAGAGGTGATGCTGAATGAATGAGGAGTTTTCACGGAGGCTCTGGTAGTGAGAATGATTTTAATTGTGATCGTTGGTTGCTTTTTAGGATCCTTTTTTGGGACCCCAGACAGTTTTTAAGCCTGCCATGGAGCGCATCATTATTTTAAGCTTAGCAAGAATCTTGATCTCAGCATTCTGTGTCTGAAGTATCGTGGGCGTTCCTTGCAGCTTGAGTTGGAGGGAGCAGGAGAGATTCGACAGGACCGGTTTTGGTTGTCTTTGGGGTGGGATTCTGGCAAAGCTGGTGCTGGAAAGTGAGGGAGTGTCTGTCTCGTGCCTCTTTTTTTTAACTGCCAATAACCCAGGCCACATCCCCAAGCTCTGGATGCTTGGGTGTTTCTCTGAGCCTCTGTTTGCTTGAATTTTACAATATGTTAAAGATGTATGGTAAAGGTTTAAAAATAAAATGGATCCCAGTTCTCTTCCCTCCCCTGTCAGCAGGGGTACATTTCTTTAGGTCCCTTCTTCCTCTTAGATTGGAGATACTGTCTCATTTAAGCCCTAGCTGAAACTGTGCACTTCTGCAAACCTTCAGTATAAACTCTAGAAGGAAAAAACCAGTTGGTTTTATATTTTGTGCTAGTTTTACACATGCTGGTTTGATGCTTTTGGAGAACTTGGAAATCTTGGAGGAGCAAAGAGATCTCGATGAGGCTGGAATCTGTGGGATGCCAGTGTCTGAATAGGCGGTTTTTAGGAAGGGGGGGGGCTCTCTCTTCCTTTTGGCTCAGGGCTCTTTCCTTTCCTTCTGGGTGATTGGAAGTTTCATTTTGGAGCCAGCCATCTAAACACGGTGGAGGAATGAAAAATGGCTTCCACCCTTGCCTTCCCAGATTTTCAGGGAACCAGTTTTTGGTACCTTTTCCTTGCTCTGTCGGCGCTTCTTTGCATGCCTGTTTCCTCAACTGCAAAGTGGAGGGGGGAGGTAAAGATCCCTTCCTCTTAGGGCTTTCGGGAGGATTGTATGAAACCCATAAAGCACTTGATCTAGTACTTGGCACATGGAAGAGTCTCAGTAAATGTTCACTGTTATTATTTTTGTTATTGCTAGTTTGCTGGTCTGTATGTGCATAGTGTTCCTCTGTTTATACCGAGAGGATATAAAGGAACTCAGCAATAATTAGGTAGTCTAGTCGTGCCAGAGCAGAAACAGCCTCCCAGGTCCTGGGAATTTTCTGCTAGAGAAGCTTAAACATCCTGACCAACCACAAGTTAATATGCAGTTGCTAGCTACCTGCAGGTAAAAGGTGGTTGTGGGGATGGAGTGGGTTGGGGGACAGAATTAGAAGGCCCAGTCCCAGAACGGGTGCCCTTTCATCAAGTTGAACAAGTCAAGG